TGTAGGGAAGGTATTAGGCACCCTGCAACACCCAATATTGGTAACTTATGATGAAATTAGCGAGATAAAGAATAAAAATTCACATATTTGGTCCCTTTTATTAATGGTTATTTACATGTTTAATCTTAAAATTACACGATTGAACCTAAGACGTCTACATGGTGGCTTTTATTTACAATAATATTTATTAAAGAAATAGTAAATGATAGAGACGAAATTTGATGGGAATACCTCTTGAGCGAGCTTTTATAAGATATGTTTTCAATATGGTTGAATTCAGGTGCTTTTTGGCTACCTTACACACTACAATTCACCTCATAAATCTCAAGAAATATAAAGAAGGGGAGAAAAAGAACAATTCGAACTAGAATAAGGCATTCTAAATTAGTCCATTATGAGCAATTTTTGAATCTAGAATGGCCTATCCTGGATTGGGAACGCCCCATTTTCACCTAGGATTTCTAGGCATTTCTAGAAGTTTGAAATGGCCCGTTCCAGATTGGGAACGGCTTGTTCCATGCTTCTAATTTATCTTTTTGGGTTTTTGGCCCTTCTGATGTCTTCTTGGTCCATTCTGATGTCGTACTCAAGCCTTCAAGAGTTCTCTATCCTGTACTAAAGGCCCATTCTCTTGTTCGCATGTCCTAGATGAAATTAGGTATCTACACTTATGTCCACACTCAAACCATTATTTAAGGAACTTAGAGATGGTGGTTTTCTCTTCCTCTCTTATCCTAGTTGTGGGAACCTAAAAAATTCCATCTGGCCCATAGATGATTTGGACCTCCATTTTGAAAATCTCATTAATTAAGGAATACCTAAAAACCAGAATAGTCCTTAATCAATGGTTTTAGAAAAGAGTTCGCATGAGTTTCCATCGATGCTTTGCTCAAAACATCGAAAAAGAAAAGATTTTTAAAATTACCAAAATGACCCTCATAGCCAGAATTGGGTTCAGGGGTCGATTATGTGTAAGGAAGGTATTAGGCATCCTACAACACCCTATAATAATACCTATGATGAAATTAGCATAATAAAGAATAATAATTTGAATATTTAATTCTCCTTTTATTAATCATTTACATGTTATTACTATTACTTATATAAAAAAAGAAAGGGATTTAGACCCCACACGTTTGAAAATGATATGTCTACATGCTTATGGCTTATGTATGAAAAAGTCATGTATATCAAGTGATTTAAATGAAAAAAATATGAGAATTACTGAAAATACCTTTAAAGCAAGCTTTTATAGATTTCTTCCTTAAATGTGGGGTTCAAACACTTTTTGGTAGCTTTGCGCTCTGCAAATATCCTCACAATACTCAAGAAATACAAAAGATAAAGGGAGGAGAGATTTATGAACTAGAACTACTAGAAACGGGTCAAAGATGATAATTTTTCCTCCCAATCTCTGTCCTTTTTTCCTTTTTTCTTTGCATTTTGCACAAGGCTCATATTTATAAACATTAGACTTAATTGGAAAGATCGTTATGATCACCAGAATGGTCTTTTCAAGATTAGTTTGTTATGAGCAATTTTTGAATTTGGAACAACTCATTCTGGATTTGAAGTTAACTCATAATAACTTAGGTCAAAATGACCCATTTCGATCTAGTAACATGGAAGCTTGTAGAACAAGCTTTAGCTTAGAAGATTGGGGAGCAAGTTAAGCTAGAACCTCGGGGAGCAAGTTAAGCTAGAAGCTTATAGCACAAGCTATCCAAGTGTGTGGAAGAAGCCAAGGTAATTTCGACCAAGGTAGGAGAGCTAGGTGGCCAAGCTTATTTCCTCCATTTAATCTAATCCAAAACTCTTAGAATTGGTTTAGTTAGGTTCACCAAATGATGGTGAGACCTAGCTAAATCAATTCCTTGGAAAAAAAAATGGAGGAAAACAAGCTTAATATGTAAAATTTAGCCTAGGCCCACTAAAGGCCCAATTACTAGCTATACCTACACACTTTACTATTTGTCACCCCACTTCTACTACTAAAAAATGAAAATCAATGATCCTTAATACAAGGTCAAATGGAGCAAAAGTCTCCAAGTAACATGCCCCAAAATACTAAGGGATAACCTATATGAAAAGAAAGAAAGTGTTTCACAAATACAAAGGTAAAATACACCTATACAAGTAACTACTATTTAGAAGCATCATACTGTAACGTCTAAAATATACATATTAATCCTAATTTTATATGTTTATAGTGAATTTTTTTATTATTTATTTTTCGATATAGAAAGAAATATCACTTAGGGTTAGAATTTGGAGTGGAAAGAAAGCTCCTTAGAACACTCACTCATTCGTTGACTCA